GGAAGGGACCACAAGGATCCCCCAGTTCCAACCCCTCTGCCATGAGCAGGGACACCTCCCACTAGATCAGGCTGCCCAGAGCCTCATCCAGTCTGGCCTTAAAGACCCACCTCCCTGGGCAACGCATTCCAGGGTCTCACCACTCTCATGGTGAAGAACTTCTTCCTCATGTCCAGCCTGAATCTGCCCACTTCCAGCTTTGCCCCATTCCCCCATGTCCTGTCGTTAGCCGATAGCCTAAAAAGTCCCTCCCCAGCTTTCTTGTAGGCCCCCCTAAGATACTGGAAGGCCACAATAAGGTCACCTCGGAGCCTTCTCTTCTCCAGACTGAACAGCCCCAACTCTCTCAGTCTGTCCTCACAGCAGAGCTGCTCCAGCCCTCGGATCATTCTGGTGGCCCTTCTCTGGACACGCTCCAGCAGGTCCACGTCCCTCTTGTAATGGGGGCTCCAGAACTGGATGCAGTACTCCAGGTGGGGTCTCACCAGAGCAGAGTAGAGGGGGAGAATCACCTCCCTTGACCTGCTGGCCACACTTCTCTTGATGCAGCCCAGGATCTGGTTGGCTTTCAACTTTGAAACATTTCTCATCAATTGTATTTGAACAAAATGTTTTAGCTTAACCAAACTGCTGGTTTGGGTGTTACTTTTGCTTGAAAACTTATAAATATTTATACTTTGTCTGGATTTAGAAGAGAAGACTTCAAAGGTAAAATGCTTATATGACAGGAAAACATTTCCCTACATATCTCTAGTAGTTAGTGGGCTCTCCAGAGGACAGTAAAGTACCAGTAATAAAATAAATAATATCTTGAACATAGAAGTAATGACAAATCAGAATGAGTGGCATGATTCTAATGAGGGGTTGGAGAAGCTGATTTAAAATTTAAACTGGGAATTCAGCAAGCTTTTTAATTACAAGAACATTTTTACTGTTGTGCCCTTTTTTAAAGGATGGATGAACTATCTGTGGGTTATGGACATTCTCAACAGCTGCTCTTTATTTATAATTGTCAGATTTAATTGTTTGTTAAATAAAAAATGAATGGTTTATCCTATAAATCAGATTAAAACACTAGTTATGATGAAACAGCAATGCCTTTAGGGAAGTGGGGACAAAAAAGACAGACGTCTGTTTTATATAATACAATAATAGCTTTCTTACTGCATCTTTCACTTAAGGAAATTAAAACTACAGCTCCCTGAAGCTAGAATTTCTGTCATTTCTCTCTGATGGGGAGTGTTTCATAGAACTCCATTTTTAGATCAGGTGTTACAGAAGTTTTTCTTCAAGAAACTGTTCTTCAGTCTTCTTTATTGCTCTATATTACTGTTTTTTCCTTTTATTATCATTGTTCCATCAATTAGGAAAGAATATGTCTCTGACTGTGGATGCTGTTCTTTCTGTTTGATTGAGGGAAGAGAATCTGTCAGCAGAAAAAACTTTCACGTCTGTGCTTCCCTTCCAGAATACAAGTCTGCTTAGTTAAAATGCAATGATCCTTCAGCTGTTCTCATTTTTTGTAGTTAGTGTAGAAGATCTCCTTGCAGAGCAGGTATCTTGCAATGCTTTGAGATAAAGCAGCACGCCTTATCTCTTAAGCTGGTAGATTGACAGCTTGGATCAGGTTTTCTAGGCTAAGAATGGAAAGTTACTCAGGGCTGACATCAGCTCCTGTGTAGGGACAGCTGGAAAAGCTCAGCCTTTATCACTAGACAGGCCACCACTGTGGCCTATGTGTAGGTGCTGCAGAGCTGGCATAAAAGATGAGTTTTGTTGTTTCTCACCCTATACTGAGGGCATCACTATGTTTGTGAGCTGGCTGGGTAGATGACTTAGCGGTGTAGAATTAGTGTCACTTCTGTGGTGATGTTCAGGTCTATGGCTCTGCTATGGAGCTTGTATATGGCTCAGAATTTGTCCTCCTATCTTGGCACTTTCAGTATCTCCTCCATTAAAGGGTCTGAAAACTCCTTTGTGTTTTGCCAGTGATGGTTTTACTCCAGGATCTGTTAATCACGTCACAGAGAATACCTGATTTCTCTGCTCACTCAGCTCTGCCAGTGAGTCAGAGGTAAGCTTGTTAAATTCCATTTGGCTCTCCAGGTAGCTGTGGCATAAACTTACATGCCTATATAGGATGTATTCGGTTGAACCATATAACTGAAGGTAGCATAAAATTTGTTTTGCTTAACCAAAGGGACGTCCAGTCTTCTGAAAGTACTGACTATGGGCAGCTGTTTATTGAACCAGATGCTGATGTGCTTGAAATGATAAAGTGGGTACCACCAGGCAGAGAGAAATTGTGAATGGTGCTACTGAGGTTTATGACCAGAATCACAATAGAAACTTGAGTGAAGTTTGAAGCATGTAAGTAAAATATTTAAATAAATAAATAAATAAAAGGGGTGTGTGTGTTAAACCCCTCTCTATTGCTCCATTCAGTTGCTCTGTTTCAGTGTAGCATATTCCATTTCAAAACCAAACTTTGGCTCTGATTTTATATTCCTTATGAGACAAAATTTTGAAAGATTACAAGTGTCCCATCTAATCTTAAACTTGCAGCTAAGCTTTAAAATTATTTCTTTTTCCCCTGGCACACTGTGGGGGGCACATAACTCCACACAATCATGTGTCTAGGTGCTTAGTTTAATGTTTAAATGCCAAGAGTTTACACCTTCAAAGCTGCAAGCTGTAAGAGATCAAGTCTTAGATGATAAAGGTAATCACTTTTGAGCATAAACGTGCTTATTTGTAAATGCACATTAATATTTTCTCTACTAAGTAGACAGGCTGCAAAGAAAACAGGCTCATGCTATGTGTTCAGAGCTGTTTTATGGTTTTCAGGACTTGCTGTAGGGAAGATCTCAGTCAGATTAAAACAATGTTGAAACTCATGAGCCAAAAAAGTAATTTCTGATTCCTGTGTGCCCTCTATATAGTCTCAACAGACAAATTCAACCCAGTGCAATTTCCTTTGCCATTTTTCTGAGCAGGAAGTCATGAAGTACTTATAGCATGACCAGATATGAATTAATCTACAACCCAAAATATTTACTTTTACTCTGTAACTTTGACTACAAGACCAAAGCATTTGTTCTACAAATGAATTCCAGTGAAACAAAGGATGGAATATATGCCACATGCTTAACCATGAAGATGTTTCTGTTAACTTCAGAGAGAATAGTTATAAGCTTAAAATCATGTGCCTGTTCAAATGTGGTGTTGTTTCAAAGCTTGCATGTGTAATACTTACCTTAGCTGCATTTCAATCGCCTAACTGGTAAGAACACCAGTTCTAACAGTCATCAGTATTAAGTGATTCACAGCACTGAGGCATCTGCTCAGATTTCAGACTGCAGAACTTCCTAGCTTATACCAAAATAAGAACACTATACAATTACAGTCTCTTTATTCTTTGACAGAAACCCTTTGCAAATCTTGTCAGCAAGAACTCTTTTTATCTCAACAAAAACCCAATGTGCATGTCCCATGCTGTCTCCTGAAGTCTTGGAGTCATTCCATGGAACAGTCTATGAAATAAGAGCTAGAGGTGCTTTAGGATTTGCAGAAAGACCCTGAAGGGCAGTAACAGAAATGCATGAGCAAAAAAGAGAGATCAAGGTAGAAGGTAGAAATTAGAAGGAAATTAAAAGAGAGTTGTGCAAGCAAAGAAACTTTGGGACAAATGGGACATGGAAATGTTCAGGTCATGTTGATGCTAATGAGTATGTTCCAAGCTGTATCAGCTACTTCTCACTTGGAGTGTAACTTATGAGTGCAGGAAACTGGTGCTGATGGCACTGAGTATGGCTGCAGTTTCCACCTCTGACGGTGAGAAAAGTGAACTCTACAGTCCACCCAGTCATTTATTCTTACATGAATCACCCCAGGACAATGGTTACTACAGATATCACAAAGAAAGGAAAATCAGGCTGAGGTGATGCTGTGCTGGGACAGGCAGAGCATCCAACTCCTGGAGAAGCAGGTCTTTCTCTACTCCACAGCCTGTTTCTCTTTCCTCTGTCCATTGATGTTAATGCAATGCCCCAGCACGCTGTTAGCAAATGCTGCAGGGCTTGAAGTTTTCTCCTTAGAAAGTGTGTTTCTATTTTATAACCAAAGCCTGGATGAGCCCAGACAGTGCTTTCAAATACATTTTAAGCCCTTCCTATTTCAATTTTGAGTGTCCAACTTCAAACAGAACTCTGGATTTACATAGACATGATCTTCAATTCTCTACTAGACAAATTCTAGAAGTCTAAAGAGATATAGTAGCAATGATCAGTATGAAAGGGTTCATAATTCCTGCTACATTTGAAAAAGGTGCCATTAAATGTTTGTAATATTAATATGGTATTAAAAAATGTACCAATATGCAGGAATTAGATATTTGAAAAATTATTTCTGTGGAAAAACACTGACTCCCTAGTGTTTGTCTGTACTTGCAGCAAAATTGGATGGTGTTATAAATTCAGAAGAAAATTTAACATCAATAAAGGAAAGAAATACCCATTTCTTACAGGCTCTGGTCCTACAGATGTTCAAATGGCTATTTACATGTCATCTGCTAATCTTTACTGTGGGGAAAAATGCAGAAATTCTTCTCATAGGTTTTGGATAACTTTTACAGAGACACTGTCTTCACATCTATTTCATTTAAGTTTTATAGATATCTTTTCCCCATGCCCTTCTTAACTGACTTTCTAGGCAGATGAAATTAAATATATCTGGCCTTGGTAACTAGAAAGATATGTATCTATGTAAGTTGGCCTGGTAAGAACAGAATCTATTTTGGTCCTTTTCCTAGCACATGTCTTAAATCAATCATGCACTTTTTGTACTTTATTTTTTTATTCAAGACATGAGCAAAATAGGACAACAGAATTGTAGATGCCAGTGAGATCCCAATTAGGACATTTTCATTATTCTGAGCCTTCTTCCTAGGGGTACATGAACTGACTTCCTATAGTGTTAAAAACAATTAATTTGAATTGGGAAACAAACAATTGCTGATGAGTTCTTCTTTCCTAGAAAGGTCAAACTGAATTCAGATGGAGGAAAAAATTGAATCTACTTTGACCACGATAAGTTGCTATTTTCTACATTCTTAAGATTATGAATTTAGATTCCACTGGCCATGATTTCCCTTCCCCATATACTCCTTTGGAATGTGAAAAGACAAACTCCAGCTCTAACTCTCAATAAAGATGTAACTGGCATGCTGGGATTTTTGAAAGTCATAATTCATCTTTCTTCTTCAGGATGATTTTCCTTACAAGATCTGTAACATAAGGTCTTATTTCTTCAACAGAGACAGTAGAGTCCCAGGCCTTTACTACTTTCCCATTGGGGCCCACCAGGTATTTCCAAAAGTTCCAGGTTGGTTCTTCTCCTGTGGAATCTACAGGAAGGAAAAAAAAAAAAAAGGAAAATTAGGGGAAAAATAAAAACAACCCAACAAAACACAGAAACCAAAACAACCAAAACCACTCAATTCCTGACATTTGTTCATGTCAATGTGATGATTACATTATCATAGGAAGACAAAATGTAAAATGAAGAGGGAGTTCTGACTGAACAACAAGATTAATTTTCTGACAGACAGCGAGCTTTAATTAGACAGGAGCCCCCTGGAGACTAGTGGAAATGGCCCAGCCTGAGACAGACAGAGAGGAGAATGCACTATAATCCACTTAAAGTGTGCATGCATGTGTGTGTGTGTCTGTGCTATACAGATAAATCTGAAACAGTTTAACATTGATAGGAAAATGGAATTTGGCATAACAATATAGCTGCACCAGGACTCATTATTCGCTTGCTTATCTGGAATTTTTCTTCCAAAAGCACCCAGTATCATGTTCTGAATCAGAAGAACATTTCAAGAAATGCCACGTGAAGAATTAACAAAATAAATCGTTCCAGGAGATCTCCTCCTAATCCTCATTTACTACAGTTTTTCTCTTCATAAGCACATACTCATTCTACATGAGTTGCATTCTTATCCTTTATTGCTCTGCTACATGACTAACGTAATTTTCAGGATTTTCAATCAGATCAGAAACCTCATCCCACTAATAGCACAAGTACAGACACTACAGACAAATTAGCATCTTTTTCCATTGATGACGTGTTGGGCAATATCTCATAAACAATCACAAGATGTTTCAAGGTATCATCAAGACACAGCTAGACCTATACTGTTGACTACTTTGTCATTGTATCACATCAAGCAGCCTCTCTTTGCATGTGGACCAGCAGGGAAATAGAAATTTTGCAAGTTTCATGTGACATGTCTGCAGTAACAACCCTGTTGGGCAAAACAGAAACAGAAGGATGTGAAGTGGATTGAAAAGAAGTTTGGCCAGCAAGAAGATCCATTACACCTACCTGGAAGGAAGCATACTTGGGGTGGACAAAAATAATACTACCAACACACCTTTAAACTTGGTGGTATGTGAGTAGAACACTGTGATGCTGGAGAGAGGCAGCAGCCCTATGGTTCCTGGAGAATGCAGCTCAGGTGATACTATGTCATATTGAGCTTTGTTATATATCATTGCTGGAAGGCACTTCCTTCACATTGGATAAAGAATGACAGTTTAGCATTTGAATGGTATTTAAAGCATTTGTTCAGTGCAAGAAAAGTGGTGCCTTGACAGAGAAAGAAGTGCCCTGACAGAGAGTATCCTGCTTTGCAGTGTATTTTGTCAGCTGTCTGCTAAGAACCTGCAAAAACCTCTTCAGGTGTCAGTGTGAGCTGTAACGCAGGTCAGAGCTGGAGGAACTGTACAGGGTGGCTAGTCCAGCGCTTGGCAGGGAATGAGGAAGGCAGTGTTCAAGGACATCTCTGACTGCCTGGTTTCACTTTTTGATTGATGAATTATGTAGGTACTTTGCTTCCACTTCTACAGCTCTTGAGATGAATCTTATAAATTCAGCCTGTAGCAGTCATGTCACAGGAGAAGCACTTACTAGACTGCAAAGTGGAAAAAGGAAGATTAGGTGTTGTATGCATACAAAAGAACACCTCAAAACCATATAGAGGTTTATTAGACTAACTTCTACAGAGCATCTGTTACTGTAGTGTCTTCATTCCTTTTTTAGAAGGTTAGACAAAGCTGCCAGGGGTAACATAGAGAGAACTTCTGCCTTGTGCAGAGGGATGGACTACATGACTGAATCTGACGATGCTGCACGGGCACCTTTTTTCTGTCAGAGGGCATTTTGTGTCAGAGGAACTCTACACTGGGGAAAAAGCCTCCAATGTTCCAGATTACTCACCAATTAAGTACTTGAAGGCAGGGATTGCACCAGCTCCGCTGACTGCAGTTTTGCTGAACATAGGAAAGGAGGCACCGTAAGTCTTCCGCGCAAAACTCTCGATCTCTTTGTTCGTGTCAGGTTCTTGCTGCCCAAACTGATTGCAGGGGAAGGCCAGCACGTTGAAATGATACGGGCCCAGGTCTCTCTGCAGCTGCTGTAGGGCCTTGTAGTGGCTATCTGTATACCCACACTCACTTGCAACATTGACAACTAGAGACACCTGAAGAACAAGAGAGATTATTATGATTAAAAGGTTAAAAATATGATGCACCTGTCAGTTTTCCAACAGGTAGGCTGGGGTGCAGATTATTTTCAAAAAATGAGAATGTCTAGAGAACTGTGACTGAAACTACATGGAGTTACATTCACAATGGAAAGATATAATGCTGGTTTTCTGTATATCAATTTGGCAACCATGAAGATAATCAATAAACTACTATGCAATCTTAATTCTCAGTTTACACAGAATCTATGTTCCTCTGTCCTACCTTTTGATAGTTTCTAAGCATATTTAAGAAATGACCATCCAACTAAGGTGTAGGCAAATTAATGTATCTTTGGTAGCTTATTTATCTGTAGTGAAGTATCTGTTCTGCAGCATCTTTTCTTGTACAGAATTTTGTGCTTATACAGATCTGTCTGATCCATTTATCATTGCTAGTGTATCATTCCTTGATCTGGAAGTCAACAGAAGCAATTAGAGAGTTTTGGCTTAGTCTATGCAGTATGGACAGAAAAAGTTCCCACCATGAGTTCCTAGAGTAAATCTACTGAGTTGTGATAAAATTAGAACAGATTTTGCATAAAGATTTACTGCCTCAATTAGAGATTCCTAGAAGTGAAGACTGTGCCCACTATCCTTTAAAGAGTTATTCCTGTAGCTGATCATCTTTGGCATCATGTGCATTGTGAGGTTTGGACATTGTCAGCAGGCATCTATCTGCCTGCAGAGATCCAGCAGAGAGGAAGGTGCCAAACACACTGCAGGAAAACAGAGACGTGTAAGGAGAATACATGCTGAAACAGATTCTACCAATAATTTGCTGGGGAAATTAAGTGACCTAACTGTGACCTGACACTTATTACACAGTTTCTCAAGGCCACAAAGTGTTTTCCATTGTTTTTGGAGATATTTTATCCTTAAGTAAATTCTAGAATTTATTTTTAGACTTTTTTTTTACTATTCTCATGAATTCTGTGTGTTGCCACTCATTCTACACAAATAGACCCCATTCTAATATTTCCTTGGGAGTGCATTGAAGCTGAATGTCATAGATCCTTCAGGTACAATATGATTTTATTAATAAAAATAGCACTCTGCACTTCATTGTGATGTTTCTTTCACATCTAACTATGTTCTATTCCTTTTCCCAGACCAATTCATAAGACTTTTAAGGCAATATAAATATCATATTACTAAAATTGTTTCAACCAACCTAGATTAAAATCAGGCATAGTGCAGAAAAAGCATTATGGATCGGGAAACAAAACTCTGCGCAGTTTACACTGAATCCAGTGGGTTTTTACAGCTTATAAATCAGCACAGAAGCTGGTCCTTCATCCTCAAATTGTAAAAAAAGTTTTAACTCAATGTAGCCATTACATTCCCCAGTGCTAGTACAACAGCAGCAGCTATTCACATGGGATCTTTCTACAAGCATTTGGAAGTTTCATAGAAGCTGGCAAGTTCGTTTCATCATTGTCAGTAGGAGACAGCAGTGTTGAAAGGCTCGGTGCCAAGAGGAAAGCCTGAAACTTGGACAAATTAATTGACCCGATCAAATTACACAGTGAGTAGCTGCAGGGCAAGAAAAGGAAGTAAAAAATCCTGACTCCAGGCCTCCTACTCTTGGACCTGGGACCACTGGCTTTGCTCAATTTGAACTTTGGATTCTAATGTTACTATTGTTCCATGATCCTTTGTGTATGTTTTTATACAGAATATTAAAGTATATAGGAAATTATTAATAGAGTACATAAATTCTAATATATGAAAAATAAATTACTACATATGTGTAGTGGTTTTAAGGCCAGAAACCAAACTGGCATATAAAAGCCCACAATCTGGGTAAGGTATGGGATAACAAGGTGAAACTCCTAGAAGGGATAGGAAAGAGTAAAGAAAAAGCTAAGTGGATGTTGGCGTTTATCATTCCTTACATTAAACATTAACATTGTGTATTTTGTACCTTCTATAGACACATGTCTATATTTAAAGTGGGTTTGTAGCAACACTGTTTTCCCTGGAAGATAAGTAATCTCATAAATCAGAAACTGATGTAATTTTCTTTGTGGTGTCGTGAGACAGTCCCTGCACACTTGCCTATGAAATATGATCTGCAGCCATCTAGCTAACTTCCAAAGCACCACATTCATGCAGAATACAAGCTCCATTTTAAATTCAATCTCCTCAAACATCCAAAGATACAGCATATAATTAGATTTTTCTTTTTCAGAAAAGAGGTAATAATTTTATGATGTGTTCCTGTTGCAGACTGTCAGCATTTCAAATAGAACTTATACATTGGGTGTAAATGATAACTCTTTGCTGTTCTGTTCCTTTTAAATAATCTGTACGTTAGTGAAAACTGTAGTTTAGTATTTTAGTATTTAGTACTTTTTAGTATTTAGTAAGATTAATTCTAATACTAGGAGTTGAAGTCACGTGTAGTTTGTTCATATGAAATTCTAGAGGCTTTTTAAAATATAGTTTAAGCCAGCATTCTCATGATGCAGATATATTCATATATCTTACTCTATTAATACTTATTAGTACTTTATCCTAAATACAGTGGTAATGTAAGAATTTATTATTGGAGGTTTGAAGGAAATAAGGCTGTGTAGGTATTATATTCATATTGTAATAGATACGAAAGATGACTTGCCAGCAAAAACAATCAAACTTTTATAACTTTTACTTGATTTTGAAGTTAGGAGGGCTGGAAAGACTTCATTCAAAAAGAAACAAGAATTTTAAATTACATCTGTTTAAAACCAGTGGTTACTCAGCATAGTGGTGAAAGGCATGAGAGCTCACAGTGCAACTCGTGCCAACTTCCAAACATTCTGCAACAAAATTGAAGCAAACTCCATGCAGCATTTCTTAGAATGGCAGACACTTTCTGTTTCTGTTTCTAACTTAGGAAAATGCATTCTTTTGCTGAACTCCATAATTTAATACTGCAAACCTCCTAGAAGTATAACTAACACATATAATAAAAAAACTTCCAGGATTTATTAGTATTTCGTAAGTAATGTTTAAAATGATTGTTTAAAAATCATAACCAAGTTATCTTACAAGTGTCTGGCACCAGAAGTGATTAAACGTGTGTGAGCAGTTTTTCTCTGTCTGAATTTTATTTCCAATAAATAATAGTCACTCTTTTTGTTCTGATGAAGAGGCTGTACTCTGACTTCTTACAACTATTAGTGATCTAAATTAAGTTCAATATGCCTCGACCGACTTGAGGCTCTGAGAGTGCAAGTCAAGTACACCACCTAGTGTGCAGTGCAAACAATTCATCCCAGACCTTACAAAAATTATTTAAGTTGAATTCTGTATTAGCTATTGTCTGACCTCTTAAAACTATCCTTCCTTTGCTTAGAAACCCCACGCATTCTAGTAGTGAACTCATTTATTTAACATTGCAGAAGTAGTTCTTGGTTTACTTAATGCTTACACCAGTCTACTACCTTGAGGGAAACATCCTTGGAGAGGTTTATGGGTCTGCTCTCAGCTACAAGGAAAACTTTGTGGGTCTTTTAGCAGAGAGTAGATACTTAGGTCTTTAGACCTGGAGAGTCTTAACTGGCTCCATGTGGCTGGTGGAAGAACCAGCCACAAGGTTCAGGTCACACTGACTCACAGAGCTGTCACTTTTGTGGAAAAGAAAATAGCAACATTTTGCACAGTAATTAAGTAGCTATACGGTGTGCTTATACACATTCAGTAATACTGTGTTCTGGGACTGCAGGGAGCTGCCATGTAAACTGCCTGGCATCACTTTTAATAGTAAAATAATACATGATGTTGTTATAGTACCTAAAGCTGTTACATTATTATAGTACCTGTGGCCAGCAGGACTCGGGCAGTGATGGTGCTCCTCTACTCAGCACTGGTGAGGCTGCACCTTCAGTACTGGGCTCAGTTTTGGGCCTCTTACTGCAACAAGGACATTGAGTGCTGGAGCATGTCTAAAAAAGGGCAGTGAAGTTGGTGAAGGATCTAGAGGACAAGTCTTATGAGGAGCAGCTGAAGGAACTGGGATTGTTCAGGCTGGAGGAAAGGAGGCTCAGGGGAGACCTCACTCTCTACAGCTCCCTGAAAGGCGGTTGGAGCGAGGTGGGTGTCAGCATGTTTTCCCGTGTAACAAGGGATAGGACAAGAGGGAACGGCCTCAAGTTGTGCCAGGAGAAGTTTAGATTAGCTATTAGGGAAAATTTCTCCACAGAAAGGGGTGTAAAGCCCTAGAATGGGCTGCCCAGGCAAGCAGTGGAGTCACCAACCCTGAAGGTGATGTGAAGATCTATACAAGTGGCACTTAGGGACATGCTTTAGTGGTGACCTGGCACTCCTGGCTTGATGATTGCACTTGATGATCTTGAAGGTCTCTCCAACCAGAATGATTCTATGATTCTGTAACACTAGGTTTGGTTCAAGATTTCCCAGGCACTGCCCTAGCGCTGGGTAATGGCTCCTCAGCATCTGTGCTGAGCTGTGGGGCAGGTAGATAGGCCAGCAGGTAGGTAGGTACTGTTCTGTCTAGATAGGTACAAACAGAGCAGGCAACAGTTGATGTTTGGGTATTCTGCCTTCCACTCTTAGTATTTTTGCTAAGAATATTGTCTCTTACAGTGTATCTGACAGACATCATGACATATCAGCTTTCTTGAATTAGATATGCAGATAAGATTGGGTAGAAAACTAATCTTATTTGGATCCTGTTGCTTCTTTCCCAACCATGCACCACCTTCATTTTTAGTGTAGATGGGTCAACATCCACATGGGAGCCTGGAAAAATCCTAGAAGGATGGCCTTCTTGTGCAGCAGAGTGAATCAGACAGCTTTTTGAGCGATTGCACTTATGGTTCTGGTTTTTTTTCAGTCACAGCAGTCCTCTGTTTCTGTTTTCAGGTAGATGTAATAAGATACCTGAATCTGTGGCATGCATGCCAAATTTTTATCATTCTGTCAATATCATTTCTTATGTCCCCATAAAA